GTTGATCCCCAAATTACAACATTCATGGGATCCTAACTCAAAAATTCCAAATATTATATTGTTATCTTCAAAATTAGTATAAATAAAAGCATCAAATATCAAGCCTTACAATTATCATTATATTAAGACCTTTAAAAAGCATTAAGTAATGTCCCTTGCTTATGCTGTATACCAAGATAAATTCCAGGACACTCAAAATTCTAATACTATAAACCGGTTATAGTAGTATTAGAGAAGGTATAGCATAATATACATATGTGTGTGTGTGTATAATACAATTTTGAGATAAAGTATGAAAGTTGGATGCCATAAAAGAGAAGATTTCAGTATATTACTACATCACAATGTAAAAGTCTCTTAACTTTATAAGCAAAGCTAGAACACAAGCAACTGTATGGGAGAAAATATTTGTTATAGTTATAAAACAGATGAAAAAATAATCTATAAGGAGTTCTGAAAAATGAACAAACAAAACCCACCTTAAAAGGGCCAAAAGATATGAAGAGGTGGTACACAGAGAAATAAATACCCATTAAACATGTGAGATGTTCAGTGTCATGAGTAACCAGAGAAATACAAATTAAAATAATCATGATATTTGTGTATATCAGATTGGTAACATTTTAAAAATTAATACTTAATTGTGGTAAGTTTATACTCATAAATGTTGGTGCAGGATTAAATAGGTATAACATTTTTGGAGCACAATTTGGCAGTACATTTAAAAAATTTAAAATGAATACGCCTTCCATGTGAGCAGTACCACTTCTAGAAATCTCTTCTACAAAAACACATAGCTAAAAATCCATCCATGAGGAAATGATTAGATTAAATGCTATATATCCAAACTATGGAATACTACTCACCCATTAAGAATAACCAAGTTGACCAGGCGCAGTGGCTCAGCCTGTAATCCCAGCACTTTGGGAGGCCAAGGCAAGAGGATTGTCTGAGCTTGGTGTTCGAGACCTCATCTCTACAATAAATCAGGCGTGTGTCTGTAGTTCCAGCTACTTGGAAGACTGAGGTGGAAGGATCGCCTAAGCCCAGCAGGTCAAGGCTGTGGTGGCCATGAGTGTGCCACTTGCACTCCAGCCTGGGTGACAAGAGTGAGACTCCAACTTGAATAACCAAGTCGTTTTATTTATGCTACCATAAGAAATTGCATATGGTATATGATGTGTTAAGAAAGTAATTTAAGATATATGGGTAGCCGGGCTCGGTGGCTCAGCCTGTAATCCCGCGCCTTTGGGAGGCTGAGATGAGTGGATTGCCTGAGCCCACGGGTTTGAGACCCGCCTGGGTAGCGAGACCTCATCTCTACAATAAATCAAAAAATCAGCCAGGCGTAGTAGCGCATGCCTATAATTCTGGCTACTTGGAAGACTGAGGCGGAAGGATCGCCAGAGCATAGTAGGTCAAGTCTGCGGTGGCCAGGAGCGGCCACTGCACTCCAGTCTGGGTGACAGAGTGAGACTCCAACTCAAAAAAAGAAAAAAAGAAAAGATATATGGGTAGTATAATTCCATTTGGGTTTAAACCATTTATGTGTAAAAACCAAGACATAAGAAGTTCACATCAAGCCATAGAGGGTTGTCACCTCTGAAAAGAGCAGTGAGAGAGATTGGGGGGAGAGGAGAATAACAGGTACTGGAACTTTCTCTTTCTTGGTTCATTTCTGTACTTGTTGAAATCTTACAATGAGCATCTTTTATCATTTAAAAATGTAATGTAATGATGCATTTTTAAATCGGCAATTCTTATATCAAAGTTTTATAAATCTACAAAAGGTTGGAATAGTACCCATTACCCAGTGATGTTGACATTTTGAAATAAAGAGAAAAAAATGAATCCATCAGAGGTAATTCAGTAGAAAATATAGATAAGTAGGATGGCACAAAGATATCGTGAGGGAGAAAAAAGGACCTGGCTTTGTTTCTCAGGTCCTTTGTTGCTGGCTGTCTGAAACTGGGGAAGCCATGGAACTTGCCTGTGATCCAGTTAGGTTTTCCCCATTCTGCAGGTGGGGTTGACCTACTTCCATTTGAGGAAAGGTCTAGAGAGAAAGAATGCCAAGAAAGGTTCCACCTAAATGGGGAGTGTTATTGTTAGGATGTTCATGAATGAATGTCAGAGTCCAGTTTCTCGGAGGGCCACCATTAAATGAGGAATACTCTTTGTGGAAGCTGAACTCTGAAGTGGGCACTGTGGTGAGGAGTCAGGTGAAGATAAAATAAACAAAATATGAAAGACCACGTGGTGGTGTAGAGGAGAGGTGTGTGTGTGTGTGTAAAGCTTAAGAATATCTTATAAAGCAATAAAGGAGAACATTTTAATATAGTGTAGTAAAAAGAATAATGAAGTACTTAGGAGGAACTTGAAATAACTTGGAGCGATTAGATTTGGGCAGTATTAAGAGATGCTTCCAGAGGATAGGAGACATGGGTACATGCCTGTGTAAGTGTGTGGCAGTGGAGGTGGAGGTTGTATTCATGGGTAGACTTGTTATGAAGTTCAAAGAGTTTCTAAAGGCAAAATAAAATCCCCATTTGACTCAGATGTGATTCATTTTCTGCGGCAATATCAAGAGGCACAAGAGCAAATCTAGCTTGACACCATCCAGTACAGAACTCAGCAGTCTCTAGAAGCTGGAGCTGATCTACAGCTTGGCTAATGAGAAATTGCCATCCTCTGCCAGCGCCTCAGGGCCCATCTCTGCCTCTTTGGCAAGCAGGATTCAAAGGAAGCTCAAAGCAGAGTGGGGACCTAGAAGGTCACCCAGAGCATTCATTTGCAAGCTCCCCACCAGGCCTTTCCAGAAGAGAGAAGGGCGCGGTTTCACAAGTTTTTGCTCTAATCTAAGCCAATGGCTTCATGCTTCAACCTGGGGAAGGTTTTAATGAAACCTAAAGAATACTTCACACATTGACCTACCACTGGCAATGAGGAAGAGGAGGAGATGGGCCAAACATAACCGAGCTGTATCCTCTCATTTATTCTCTGGGTGTGAAAGGAGTGATTGTAAAATTCAGATGAAACTAGAAGTTGAAATTCAGAGCTCCCAGCATAAACATTAGGGTCTGTTATTAAGTTCTCTTTCACCAGTAAGACACATTCAGAAACACAATAAAACTATTGTTCTGTGGATGTTTGTGAATTTCAGTGGTTTACTCCATGAAACCCTCAAGCAGAAGTTAGGTTGTCTTCATTATGTCCTTTCTAATTTGTTGACTATTTATTGAATTTGTTTCCTTCTCACCATCTCCACTGCCACTATTAATGTGTGCATGGTTTATCACAACAGGCTTGTAACTGATCTGTCTCCAGCCATGACCCCTGCAGTCCATTGATCATGCTGCCAGTTCTTCTTTCCAACCTTCTGCTGTCTGTCACTTCACTGGTCAGAATCCTTCAGGAACATTGGGGTCTTTTATCCTGTTTCTACTGTCCACCTCCTTGGCTACATCTCTCCCTACTCCATCTTGTCTTATGATTCAGTGCTACAGCTACCCAAGAGAAGCTACCCAAGACAACTTGTAGTTCCTCAAAAATGCAAACTTTGATCTTGTGTTTGTGGTGGAATACCTTTTTGACTAGTTACTGTTTGTCTTGGCTGTACAAAATGTCATCTCTAGGAAGTGCTTCCTAACCTCCTTTGGAGTATATGCATTTTCCCACATTCTGGAAGTTCATGAGGTTTACTTCCATCCCTGCACCTACAATCTATCCTGAATGGCTAGTTAGTGGTCTATCCCCCTGACCCGCCTGGAAAACATTTTAAAGGTGAAAATCATAGAGTTCTGTCCATTGCCCCTTGCAGAGTGCTTGGCACATAATTGGTGAATATGTGATAGGAATGTGTGATAGAATGAATGTGTGTGTTTTTTTATTGAGTTTCTCCCTCCCCAGTTTTTGAACTCATGCAGGTGAATCTTTGTTTTGCCTGATATGATGTGAGTCAAGTCATACCCAGCCTGCTGTGTTCTCAGAAACAAGGTAAGGATAAGTAAGATATGTGATGTTGGGGTCTTATACAAAGGGAGACCCCAAAAAACAAATTATTTTTTGGAGGGTGGGCCCCTTGTAGTACAGGCTTCCCCCATGCTGTTCTAGGAACCCATCTGCATCAGCGTACCAGCTATCATTGCTGTGAGAGGCTACGTTCAGCTTCATTGAATTTTGTGGGGGGATTCTTTCACTGCATTTGTCTATTTTGTGATGGGTGATTTACAAGCACGTCTACCCACACTACACTGATGTTCAGGCAGCTTTTGACTAAAAACAGCATGACCCCTGTGCCCCACCCTTTCTATTTACTTGATCTTGCCCCCAGTGACTTTTTTTTTTTTTGAGTTGGAGTCTCACTCTGTCGCCCAGACTGGAGTGCAGTGGCCGCTCTCGGCCACCGCAGCCCCGGCTTGCTGGGCTCCGGCGATCCTTCCGCCTCAGCCTTCTGAGTAGCTGGAACTACAGGCACGCACTACTATGCCCGGCTAATTTTTTTTTTTTTTACTCATTGACGAGATTGTCTGAGCCCAGGTGGGTCTCGAACCCTGGGCTCAGACAATCCACTCACCTCAGCCTCCCAAAGTGCGGGATTACAGGCTGAGCCACCGAGCCCGGCCCTCCAGTGACTTTTTTGTTTGTTTGTGAAAAAGTCATTAAAGGGAAATGTTTTGCCAGTGTGGAAGAGATGAAACAAAAAATGGCAGAAGCACTAAAAAGGCACCCAAGTCAGCAAGTTCAAAAAATGTTCTGAGCAGTGGAAAAAGCATCTCGATAAGGGGCATTGCATTGAAAGGAGAGTGCTCTGAAGGTGATTTCAAAGTTAAAACATGCAAGAATAAATACACAATTTTTAATAAATTCTGACGCTTTTTGGGTTTCCCCTTGTATAAGTGAGTTGAAGACTCTTGCCCCTCATCACGGAGCATCAGTAAGTAGCTGCCCTACTGCGTGTCCCTAGAATGTTCTGAAGTAAAACTCCTGTGTTGCTGCAGGTCAGCTGTTGCCAGCAAACCGCAATACACCGAGTCCCATTGATCCTGACACCATCCAGGTTCCAGTGGGTTACGAGCCAGACCCAGCAGATCTCGCCCTCTCCAGCATCCCTGGCCAGGAAATGTTTGACCCTCGCAAACGAAAGTTCTCTGAGGAGGAACTGAAGCCACAGCCCATGATTAAGAAAGCTCGCAAAGTCTTCATCCCTGATGATCTGAAGGTAAATTGGAACTGGTAATCAGGTTTTGGACAAATGGAGAGTGGGATCAACAGGCAAATTAAAAGGGTGGCCCCTGGAAGCTCACATATGCTAATGCACAAAGGACTTGTCTGATCCTGTAGCTTGGCATGTGACTTCTAGGCAAGTTCCTTTCTCTCTGGGTATCTTCTGAAATGTCTTTTTCTGTCTTGATACTGATCAGAAATAAAGAGAAGCAGTAAAATGTGGGAGGGGTTTTAAGCCCACAAAGGAAGCAAACCTGCTACTCTCTGTGTGGAAAGCCACAAAAGCCTATTAAAATCAAACTAAAATCTTTCAAGGTTGGAAAGAGAAGGGAAGTTATATACATCTGGCCCTCATAGCCCTCTAAGAGTTTCCTTCCTTTTGGGAATTTGTTGAAAGTTAACTGTGTCATTTCCCTTTAGGCCTTGAGGAATAACAGCCAAAGACAGGACCTCCATCCACATTGCCAACCTTGGATGACTAGGGTGGGATTTTTGTGTAGGGAGCTGGTGGTTCCCTGACACTATTTATACGTAATGTTCACTTTATAATAACCACTTGAGTGTCTCAACAAAAAATTAATTCTGGTTTGGTTTTCTCTGCTATGTTGTACGGACACATTATTTATAAAGGGAAATAGACTTACCTTGGGAAGTCAAAATACAGCTTAAAACAAAATTAAACTGACACAATTAATGATACCTTAGGAAGAGAATTCTTTTCAAAACTATGCCATGTCCGCTAATACCAAAATAGAACTACTTTTGATGAGTCATTGCTTAGAATTTTTTGTGTTTATGCTTCTTTCCAGTCACATGGACAATAGAGATATGATTATACATAGTCAAAGCACTGGAACCAGGCATAACTAGCCCTTTCCTAATGTCTGACCCGCATTTCTCAAACCTAAATATGGCTCCCATGTAGGGACACTCCTAGGCCAGGAAAATAGAAGTTTGAGACATTGTCTGAACAGATTTAGACTTGCTTTTAATATCTCCTGCTTTTCATATCTAGAAAAAACGCTGAAGGTCAAAGTACCTGGCAGGTTTAAATCACTGCTGTCATCCACATACCTGAGATTACCTTAATTGATGCAGAATAGAAAAATGGTAGGGCTAAAAGGGACCTTAGAGATTCATCAATCCAAAGTTATCTTTTTGCAGTTGAGGAAATGGAGAATCAGAAAGGTGAAGTAAGGTGAGCTCTACCTGTTAGAGTGAGGCCTAGCCTGTCCCCCAGGCCGTATAGTTTCCAGAAAGGTCACAGTGGCATGTTGGCCCTGAGAAGGGCTTCAACAGGGGTCCTTGTGTGACTAACAAATCTATAGCTGTCACCCTGAGGATCAAAATAGAAAAGTACATGACAAAAATGTCAGAAAATCTAAACCAGTCAGGACATTGATGGTTAGGTTGAGATGGGGTAAGAAAGGGACACCATGGGCTTAGGTCCTGCGAAGATAGGGACCTTCTTTCAACTGGATGCTTTTCCTAGTCTTGTCTTCGTAGCAATCAAAATTTTTGTGTATTTTAGAGCCTCATCTCTTTAACTAAATCAGCGAGCTCGTTCAACATGGGTTTCCTCTTGAATGAAGGGTAGTTTGAAAGGATGCTACTGAGTGGTGGATTGAACTTACAGCCAGATCTTCATAGAGTCTCCAAATTTGCATGTTCAAAGCAAAGAGCAAGATTACCTAATAGCCCAGGTAACCTTAGCAACAAAGAGATCATGCAAAACCCATCTGTGCTGGTATGATACATATTACTGCTGTCATTACTAAACCTGACCTTTCACATGACAGGTGGGGAATGGGCAGGAATGTTCTCCTGCCACGTGTCCTTAGATTCTTTTCAGTTGTGAATGAAGCCTCAAACTGCAGGCCACAACTGCTATAAAGCAGGAAGCAGAGCTCTAACATGTTTCTCCTTCTGACAGAGAGGACCAAGCCCTGGGTTGGGTGGAAAAGAAGGTGTGTGTGACCACCAGTGTTAGCCAAGTAAAGCGATTCAATGAAATGGTCCCCACCAAAAATGGGCTTCCCAAAAGGTCCCAATCATTTGGGTTAGCATGTATGCCCTGGGAGAATTATGAGATGACACGCTGGGATTCCCAGATGAAAATCAGTCTAGTCACCCTGATTTCTTAATATTTTTAGGGCCCATTCATTCACTTGGCAAATATTGTTCCAAGACCTGTATCAGGGGCTAGGGATATCAAGGTGAGCCAGTACCCACACTGTTCCTGCCCTCATGGAATACCTAGTGTGGTGGAAAAAAGGTAGTGTTGACCTGTGTGGATTGGCAGGGCTGAGTGGGTTCTTGCTGGGTTGAGATAACTGGGAAACCAGATAGCTTCAGATGGCTGGGAGATAGAGAAGTAGGCAGTGGATAGAGTGCCAAATTTGTCAACCCCACTCAAGATCCTGCTACCTCCGCCCTCAATCATTTTGCGATGACAAAGGGAGGTGATCTGATTTTCTAGTCCAGGACACTCCTTCTTCCATCATTCCTGCCTCCTGCATCTTTTGCTGGACCCCTGTTCCCAGTCCCCCCCCCCCGCCACCTGAGAGGTTGGTTTTGTATTCCACACCTTTTCTGGCTCATCTGCATGTGTGGACAGATGAGGCCAGGAGATGAAAGCACTAGAAGTCAGAAGAGCTCTGAGTAAGAGACAAAGAAGTTAGTTGTTCCCCTGAGGCCAGCTGGTGACTCCTTTGGTCTTTAAGGCCTGGTCTATGGTCTATGGAGGAACCTGTCCATTCCCCATCAACATGTACATGCAGTTTCTACAGTGTCCTAGGGCAGGTCCTCATGTCCCCCTTTACCTCCTGGGCCCCTGTTTCCCTGTGTGCAGGTTCTGATTCATCCTAAGTCAGCCCTTCTTTGGAATGCTCCTTGGAAATCACACCCCAGGCTCATTGAAAAGCATGATAGATACACCGAGACTACCAAGGGAGTGGAATCGAGCTTCCATCAAAACACAAACAACTTCCATCAGAACCGGAGGCCTCATCACTGTTGTTAAAGTGCCTTTGGGCGCCCTAACTGTCTTGATGTCATTGATTCTCAGACTCCCAGTTCTCCTCCTCCCTTTCAGAAGCACAGACAACTTCTACCAACAACCATTGCACACCTGCCCAAGCTTGCTTACCTAGGTATTCTTTTTTATTTTAAGACTTCTTTTTTTTTTTTTTTTTTTGAGTAAGAGTCTCATTCTGTCACGAAGGCTGGAATGCAGTGGCATGCTCACGGCTACTGTAGCCTCAACCTGCTGGGCTCAGGTGATCCTTCCACCTCAACCTTTCAAGTAGGTGGAACTACAGGTGCATGCCACCCTGCCCAGCTCATTTTTTTATTTATTGTAGAGACGAGGTCTCACCAAGTTGCCCAGGCTGGTCTCGAGCCTCTGGGCTCAGGCAGCCCTCTCGCCTCTGCCTCCCAAAGTGCTGGGATTACAGCCATGAACCACTGTGCCCCACTATCCAGGTATTCTTTAAAGGGCAGCCTCCTCTCTCAGAAGAATTCTAGTATCAGCTATTATGAAGACTGCTTTTTCACCCTGTTACATAGTATTATGAAATGTATAGAAAGCTGGGGTTGCTTTATTTAAGATGGCAGTAGCAGCTTGTGAACGGCAGACAGGAAGTGCCTGCACACATTTCCTGTCCTGTCCTTGTGTAAGGCAAATGTCTGTCAAGGGTAATGGGCAGGTTTGGGAGTGAACCACTGACCTTGGACCTTCTTTGCAGTCTTCACCCCAGCCCATATGACTTTCTCCAATGCCAACTACTCCTTAGGATCCTGGAGGGCAACCGAAAGGACTGCCTTACCCATTTATTCTGGGTGGCTTGTAACTGTAGATGTTAGCTTTGCTAGGACTTTGCAAGTTGTTAAAAAAAAAAGGGAGAATTGCAAAATTCATTAGGTGGCTCCATCAATACACTAGAAGGTCTAAAAGAAGATTCACAGTTCTTAGTCGTCCTAGGAAGCTCTTCCTTTTCTTGGTTGTGGGAGGATCAGCAATGAGGGAAAAAGAAGGGAGTTCTTTCCCGCTGATGTCAGTAAAATATTACTTAGGCTAATTCAGGCCTAGAAAAGATTTAAACTAGAAATTAAATTACTTAAATGCTAGCCACCCATGTGAGTACACTGATTAGTGCCAGGTTGAAGGATTTTTTTTAAAAAATTCTGGTTTTAATTACTAAAGTGTATATATCCATTATATAATATCCTAAAATTCAGAAGGATATAAAATAAAAGGTGCAAGATTTGACTTTTCTCCTTGGCTTCTCTCTTCCAATCCCCTTTCTGGAGATCTTACTTTCATAGCTTAGTAAAAATCCTTCTGAGCCACCCTCTTTCTATGGATATATAATATTATGATTTTTAACCAAACTGGGATAAGACAATACATATTTATCTGCAAATTGACACTTTTTCCACCCACATAGTGGCATATCATGAACATCTTTCTGGTTCAGGTGTGTCATTATTTTAACAGTGGCAGAGTATCCTTTTGTAGGACTCTATCATGACATAGTAATTCAGTATCTTAGATATAGCCGCTTTTCCTTTTTTTCCCCTATTACAATGCTGCAATAAACATTTTATGCCTGTGCCTGTATGCACAGGTATGAAGATTGCTATAAGACAACATCCTAGTAGTAGAAGTTGCTAAATCAATAGTACATGCATTTAAATAGTTGATAGATATTGCCAAATTGCCTTCCAAAAATATTGTACCAACTTATACCAAAACAAGCATATGAGTGCCCATGGAAGAAATTGTATTCTTGAGGTATAATTTTCAGCAATGAAAGTAAAGAAAGTTGGAGTGTAATTTACAGGGTGAGGTGTACCCCTGGGTTTTATTCATCCTCGGATCTCTACCTCGTTGGGCACATACTCTGCTGGGCAGAGAGTAGTAGCCTGTTGGGACAGGTTGGTCCTTGCTCCAGGAAGGAAGCCATTACTCACAGACCCTTCTCTAGACATGTGGGAACGGTAAAGGAAGGAGACACAAGCTAAGAAACCCGGGCCAGTGCTTCAGCACACCCCTGAAGGCTGCCAGCACACTAGCTGACACTCTGCTTTGCTGAAATCTAATATCTTGTTTCTTTTTCCTTCTGTAACTAATGAGCAGGATGACAAGTACTGGGCACGGCGCAGAAAGAACAACATGGCAGCCAAACGCTCCCGCGATGCCCGGCGGCTGAAGGAGAATCAGATCGCCATCCGGGCTTCGTTCCTGGAGAAGGAGAACTCGGCCCTCCGCCAGGAGGTGGCTGACTTGAGGAAGGAGCTGGGCAAATGCAAGAACATACTTGCCAAGTATGAGGCCAGGCACGGGCCCCTGTAGAATGGCACTCTTGTGGGCTGGCTTTGGAATAGATGGACAGTTTGTTTCCTGTCTGATCGCACCACACCCAAACCAACCTTTCTGACATCAGCACTTTACCAGAGGCATCAACACAACTGACTCCCATTTTGGTGTGCATCTGTGTGTGTGTGTGTGTGTGTGTGTGTGTGTGTGTGTGTGTGTGTGTGTGTGTGCTTGTGCTCATGTGTGTGGTCTGCGATGTGTGCGTGTTCCTTTGCACTTGCCATTTTAAGACAGCCCTTTCATTGTCTTTTAGTTCCAAAAAAGAAAGGTGCCATGTTTTTACTAGACTCTGGAGCCCTCTCGTGGCTTTCCCATCCCCTCCCTCCTTCTCCACTCCTAACCCTTTCAGCGTTGCTTTGTGTTGGAGCTTACCTACTCTTCCAGGACTCTGCTTGGATTCACCAAGAAGGGCCCTAGTGAAATAGTGGATCTCGGTTTTTAAGAGTACAAGCTCTTGTTTCTGTTTAATCCATAAGTTACCATGCTAATAAGGTGCACAAAATAACTTAGCACTACACAGCTCTATCCCTTTATAGGTTGCTTTCTTCTTATTTTCAGTTTTGGTGATAATTGTCTTCAAATTTAAAGTGCTGTTTAGATTTATTAGATCCCATATTTACTTACTGCTATCTACTAAGTTTCCTTTTAATTCTACCAACCCCAGATAAGTAAGAGTACTATTATAGAACACAGAGTGTGTTTTTGCACTGTCTGTACCTAAAGCAATAATCCTATTGTACGCTAGAGCATGCTGCCTGAGTATTACTAGTGGACGTAGGATATTTCCCCTACCTAAGAATTTCACTGTCTTTTAAAAAAACAAAAACTAAAGTAATGCATTTGAGCATGACCAGAACCTCCCTAGGGCAAGAAAGCAGAGGGAAATGGAAGGTCTAAGAATAAGGGGTTAATTTATCAGTACATGAGCCAAAAACTGCGTCTTGGATTAGCCTTTGACATTGATATGTTTGGTTTTGCTGTCTCCCCTCCCCCACCCCACCCCACCCCTTCTTTTCTAGTTTAACTTTTTCCATATTCCTCTTGATATTCACAATTCAATTACTTAAGATTCAGTTTTCCCATTTTTGTAATATATGTTTTTGTGAATTATACTTTGCTGTTTTTTAAAAAGAATCAGTTAATTAAGTTAATAAGTTGATGTTTTGTAAGACCCTTTTTCTTAGCGGTGTCATTTTTGAATGCCTCATAAATTAATGATTCTGGAGCTTATGTTTCTTATTCTGTTTGCTTTTGAACGTATGTGCTCTTATAAAGTGGACTTCTGAAAAAATGAATGTAAACGACACTGGTGTATCTCAGAAGGGGATGGTGTTGCCACAAACTGTGGTTAATCCAATCAATTTAAATGTTTACTATAGACCAAAAGGAGAGATTATTGAATTGTTTAATGTTTATACAGAGTAATTATAGGAAGTTCTTTTTTGTACAGTATTTTTCAAGTATAAATACTGACAATGTATTTTGGAAGACATATATTATATATAGAAAAAAGGAAAACTATTCCGTGTTTTAAAATTATATAACAAAGATATATATTCACCAATGTTGTACAGAGAAGAAGCGCTTGGGGGTTTTTGAAGTCTTTAATATTTTAAGCCTATCACTGACACATCAGCACGTTTTCTGCTTTAAATTAAAATTTTATGACAGTATCGAGGCTTGCCGTGACAAATCCTGTTCTGAAATATATAAGGAGCTTTCTTGTTTCTTATTAGGCCTCAGAAAGAAGTCAGTTAACGTCACCCAAAAGCACAAAATGGGTTTTAGTCAAATATTTATTGGATGATACAGTGTTTTTTAGGAAAAGCATCTGCCACAAAAATGTTCACTTCAAAATTCTGAGTTCCTGGAATGGTGTGTTGCTGCCAGTGCCCCAGAGAGTTCTGTTCTCCCCTGCGGGCTGTGCGTCTAATACGGTATAAGGTTGATATCGGTGCTATGTGTATGGTTTATCATTTGGTAAGTGTTTGGACTTTAAAGGTGATTGTACTTTTGTTTCATTAAGCTGTGTAATGTCAAGAGATTCCACTGTTACTGCAAAGAAACATTTTGTGCTAGATTAAAACACTCTTTCATCAGTGGGATTTTCTAGTTTCCTGCCTCCAGAGAATCTAATTCTTTAATGATCTGGTAGTCTCCTTGTCAATCCATCAGCAATACTTCTCTCATAGTGTTTAGTCTTGGGAAACCCAACCAATAGGATATTCCTACTAGATATCCATTTTGTCCCAAGCTACAGGTAAAGGCAGGAGATGGGGAAGTATTGGAACTGAAATACATTGTTCAGGTGAATAACTATGGAACCGAAATACATTGTTCAGATGAATAACAAAATCAACAAAACCATTGGCGATCTTAAGCAGAACTGAATAAGAAATATTCAGTAAGAAATACAAGCAGGCATGGAGTTGGCCTTTTTACAGGCAAAGAGGCTAATTGTAGAATTGCTAGATGATCGTAGTCATTAAAACAAAGACAGATTATATCTTTAAGTGGAGAAGTGTTGAAGGATTGTACCATGGATCATCCAAATGTATGGCAATATCAAATGGTAACTGAAAAAAGCTATATTTGAGCACTGGTCTTTCTTGGAATTAGATGTTTATATCAGAGGAGCACCACAATGTTTTCTGCAGAAGAAATAAAAAGATCATAATAAAATGTATTCTCTTGTGTGCCAGGAGAGGTTTCAGAAACCTACCTCGTCTTAAAAATTTAAACACTTTGGAGTCTGTACAGGTGCCTTATATGTAGGTCATTGTCAAAACACACACACACACACACACACACACACACACACACACACACACACACACACTCACACACACACTCCCTCCTGGCCTGGCTGCCTGCCTGTCCAGCTTAGTTAACTAGTAAACAAGGCAGATCTTCTCCATGGAATGAGAAGCCACAGCCCAACTTGGAGTGACTTGGGTCAACCAGGGTTAGATGCAGACTGCTGCTATTATGAGAGTCCTGTTGTCATTTTTTAATCTTTTCATCCTAAACATCTTTCATAGATTAATTATTTGGCCATTAAAATGAATCCAGATCCTATCACACTTACATATATAGACATGATTTGGAATGAGCCTCAGAGAACTTCCTGATGAAGTCACATCACTGTTTCTTTAGATTTGGCACAGGCAAAAATTGACCAGCTAATCTTTCTGCTGCTACTACCTTGGGGAGAAAGTTAGGGGATGTAGGGGAGGGTTGTAAATGATCACTTTCTCCTCTTGAGAAAATGGCCACCTTGGAGCATTCAAAAACCACATTAGGCAAGATTGTAATAGGCCTTTTGTCTTCAAATACAATGACCTCCATGAAGCCATCCCTCAAAGCAGAGGGACCCTTTGAGGAGAGTAAGAATGAGATTCTGACAATGGATGAGTTGGAAGCTGTACTAGATAACCCGGAGATTCCTACTAACTCACTAGTTTTGTAGGGGAACTTAACAATAATGCTAAACGTACATCTAAAAAGTCTAGGCTGTTTTCAGGAGAGTCAGGAAGGATTTCAAGTGGCACCCTTCCCCCTACCCCAGAGTAAAACAACAGACATTCTGCTAAATACAAAGATATACTTTGGTTTCTTTCTAGTAGCTTTTACCCTAATATTCCTTTTAGGAAAACTTTGAGTTAGAGTGATGCCAAGGCAGGCTGACTTGGCCTGCCTGCCTGTGCCCGGTGGGTAGAGATCTGGATTTAACACAGGGGTCAGCACCCTGCAGGTGCCTAAGACTAAGTGTTCTGCCCCTAGTTTGCCCACTTCCTGCTGAGGGCTTCTAAGTAACTACCATTGGTGAGGCCAAGGTCTCCTCCAGGTTTTTTCTACTATTAGTAATATAATTTCAAAATAATGAGCAAAACCTTGTCCAAATCAGACTTAGCAACTAGAGTCAATACATTTTGCAATGGGCCAAGTGTGTATAGGGGAGTGTGTGTATGTGTGTGTGAATATTTAAGTCAACATAAAATCTTTAATTTTTGAGCACCTTACCAAACATAACAATAATCCATTATCCTTTTGGCAACACCACAAAGATTGCATTTGTTAAACAGGTACAAGTTGACATGAGGTTAGTTTAATTGCACACCATGATATTGGTGGTATTTATGCTGTTAAGTCCAAACCTTTATTTGTTATTCTTAATGTTGAATAAACTTTGAATTTTTTTCCTTTCTTTCATGTATTTTTGTTAACTGTTGGCTAGCAATTGGATTCTGTTCCCACTTCAATAACCAAGAGACCATTTGCAGAAATCATTACACAGATAATAAAATGATATTGTATAATTAGTAATAAATTAACCATTTATTGAGTACTTATGTGCCAGAAACTGTATTAAACACTTACATGGAATACTTTATTTAATCCCATATCAACTTTATGAGGTAGGGACAATTGTTATCCTCATTTACAGAAAATAAAATAGAAGGTTATGGGAATAAAGTAGCTTACCTAATGTGACACAGGTAGAGATGGCTGAGATGAATTCTGATCCCCTGTATGGGCATCATTTAGAGGAGTTGCTCTAAAAGCCAGTCCACAGACTGTTTTCTTGTTGGATATATAAAAATCACCTGGGATCCTATTACAGAAGTACAGATCCAGACATTCTGAATCAGTAGATTAGGGATGGGGCCCAGAAATCCAAATCTTTTAAATGCTCCCAAGTAATTCCCATGTGCAGCCAAGTAATTAGAGTCAAGAATTTATAGACTCAGCTCTTCATTCAAGTTTATAACCCTTGGGGAATCTGTGTAGAAACTTCAGAGATTCCATAATTACCTGAAATTGTATGCAACTTTTTTGTATATAAAAACATGTTTATTTTGCTGCGGAGAACATTCATAGTTTTTTTCCCCCTTCTCCTAAAGGAACCTGTGATGCAGCATGGAATAAAACTCCTGAATTATAAGAAGGCTGGTATAGTGCAGTGGCTCTGCAACCCAGGAAGCCCAGTAAAATCACCTGAGGAGCTCAAAACACTGGTCATGTGGGGCTCAGGAACTCAGCATCTCTGACGTAGTGAGAAGGGGGGCTCTGTGATGAGCAGCACAGTTCTATATTCAAATCTGTTGCCTAGTAGATGCATGAACTTGAGCTGCTTCTAGACATTTCTGAACCCAAATCTCATCTGTGGAATGAAGGTTTACTACCCACCTTGGAGGGTTGTGAGGAGAATGAATGATGTAACAAAATGCAATCCCTGGCACATCATCGGCCCTCAATAAATAAGTGCATGGGGACCAAGGGAGTAGAATGTCTGCCTTGAGCACGTTTTTCAATCCAGGCCATTTGTTCCTTTAAAAAGGACAGAAAACAACTTGCCTGCTCACAGGATTGAGCAGCATGGCTGATAGTGTGGGAATGGGTAGTACCCTGCTAGAGATGTTACAGAGTAGTCTGACTTCACTAACAGATCATAGACTAGCACCAGCTTTGTGTACAAGGTCAATGGGTATCTGCCACTTGGTGCCATCTTCAAAATTAGACTGAGTGGTTACAAGTCAGGGTTCAGTTCTACTTTCATCAAACACCTTTCACCTTTCTCAGAGGAATAAATATAGTAACCTTAGCTTAAGATTCTTTGGGTGAAATTGATCTTATAATGGCATCTTCAAATCTTTTAGAGGAAATGACTTTATGCCTAGAGAGCATTTGGACTCCAAGATGGTAGGAGTCAATATTAAGCCAAGCTGGAATGTAGCCTCTCACACATACACACAAGCCCTCAGTCTCTGGGGACCCATTGCACACTGCCATGTAGGATGGCTCTTTCATCCACTTTTAACACATAACAAACTGCCCAAACATCAAGCCCCTCTCTTCAAAGCATATAAATTCAGTTCCCTCTTGACTTAGAAATCTCTTTGGACATCTTTAGCCAGGAACTGGGTGAGAATTGCTGAAATTTTGCCTTTGTGGTCAAGAGATAGTTTCATGGTAATAAATCAAAAGGACCCTTTGGAGGAGAAAGGTCCAAGCAAAGGTGGTAAGAATCCTCTGCCTCTCTGGGCTTTGGGTCCAATGCTGCCATTTCTGACTTCCTTTAATCCTGCAAGGCCTGCCGTGATGTCTGGAAACAATATGAACAGCTAACAATTTCTGAGTCCTAAACCTGTACCTTCCACATCTTTTTAATCTTCACATTATGAAACAGGTGCTATTATTATCCCTGTTTTGCAGATAAAGAAGCAAGCTTATGGAAATTAAGCAACCAGAAATTATACCTAGATCAAAGCCCGACTCCAGAGTTTGGCAGGGGTAAGAAACATGTCAGAAGTTCATTAAACCCATTTCCTTTCCCTCTGGACATTTGCCTAGACCAGCATTTCCAGCCTCCCTTGCAATTATTGTATCCATACAACTGAATTCTGTCCAACGGAATGTAATCAGAAGTAGTCATAGATGTCACTTTCATAATGGGCCCATAAACATTGTCACCTGATCCCCTCTCTCTTCTCCTTCAGACTTCTGAGGAAGATGGAAACTAAGACAGAATGGACCCAGGTCCCTGAGTCATTGAACTGTTACATGGTGGGGGAGGGGGCGGAAATTTCTCTATATTAAGCTATTGAGATACTGAGGTTGGTTGTTCCAGAGGTCAGCCTACCATAATAAGAGAATTTTTCTGAATCCCAGGGTCCTTACTTGAGGTCTTGACATTCTTGCCAGGCTACAGTTTCTGGTTGGAATCCAGGTTCATCACCTCTCACATACATGTGATTTCTCTATCTTCTGACAGATGTTTCACCCTGATTTAGTTCAGCCTGCTGGGTTGGATCTTCCAAATGTCACTTCCTATATTATTCCTCAGTTTGTCCTGCATTTAAACACTGCCCAGTGTGGTCCAGTTGCCTTTAGGGGAACCAGCCTCTACATCCAGATAAATTTTTCTATTTTCCATCCTCTCCCAAGTCCAGATTTTCTTCCTGGCCACTAAGTCCCTCCTCCATCCCAAATATTCAGATACTCACCTAGAGATGTGACCCGCTATTTCTTAGAACATTGGTCTTCCCATTTTTTTGCTTATAGTATACCCTAAAATTCGTATTAAACCATGAACCCACATTACACATAAAGTTTTTCACCACAAGTTTTAAAATTTTCTAAAATTTTTCACCACAAGTTTAAATATTTGCAAAGGATGTGATAGTCACTGTCACAAGTACTGGCATTTAAATATAAACAACTACATAATTCTTTAGCATATCTGATGAACTATCAAAGCCCAAGTATTTGATACCCATCAACATCCATTTGAAATATTGCAGTTGAAGCCGGGCTCGGTGGCTCAGCCTGTAATCCCGCGCCTTTGGGAGGCTGAGGTGAGTGGATTGCCTGAGCCCGTGGGCTCAAGACCCGCCTGGGCAACGAGACTTCATCTCTACAATAAATCAAAAAATCATCTGGGAGTGGTAGCGCGTGCCTGTGATTCTGGCTACTCGGAAGGCTGAGGCGGAAGGATCACTGGAGTCCAGCAGGTGAGGCTGCGGTGGCCGGGAGTGGCCACTGCACTCCAGTCTGGGCGACTGAGTGAGACTCCAACTCAAAAAAAAAAAAAAAAAAATTGCAGTTGAAATTTGTGCCTCACTTTTTTCCTTTGAAATCATTATTTCCATTCTGTTTCCTCGCTGAATCTGTTTTATGTAATATATTTGTATAATTTCAAGTCTTATCTTTTCCCTCCATCATACTTCTCAGTCATAAAACAGTATCTATAGACTAAGATTATTTTTATTTTCTGTGAACACAAGGGTCATCAATTTTTTTCTTTGTATACAACATGGTGGCTTTTATTACTAATGTATAAATGATGAAAACCACATGTGCATATTAAATGTTTATAACCAATTATTGTCTTTAAAAAACAAAACTTTAACAGAACTGCAATTCTAGGAAGATAGAAGGGGGTGGCTGAAGAGTTGTAACATATTTAAAAAAAAAAACAAACTTCACAGACAGCAAACTTTCTCATTGTCCCTTTGTTTGGTACCCCAGACATTGTTATGCCTGGAACTACAGCCCAGAACTGTAGCAAGATTTAGGATGGGTGGGAAGCAAGCCTTTTTTTTTTTTTTTTTGTAAAATGAGGGAAACATGATTGTAAAAGGAGAGGAAAGGAAAATACAACCATCATGAGGCCTCATCAACAAGCGCTAGCTGGGCACAGTGCTCCTGCCTGTAATCCCAGCACTTTGGGAAGTGGAGGCTAGAGGACTGCTTAGGGTTTGAGACCAGCCTGGGAAACTTAGTGAGACCTTGTTTATACAAAAAAATCAGAAAATTAACCAGGCATGGTGGAGCATGTTTGTTGTTCCAGCTACTTGGAAGATTGGCAGAAGGGTGGTCTGAGTCCAGCAGGTCCAAGCTGCGTAGCTGTGAGTTTGCCACTGCACTCCAACCCAGGCAACCGAGTAAGACTTCAACTCAAAAAACAAAGACAAACTCTTTCTCAGTTGAGTCAACTTGAAGAAAAAATACATAAAGTAGTTAAGGATCTAGAAATTCCCTTACGACTTGCCTGTGCAAACATAGCCCTTGGATTTATTTTGTGCACCACTAGATGTGTGCTCTGCTCACTTAAAGTAGGATATCAGAGTAGGGTGAACAAAGATGAAGGTTATTTGGCCAGTTATGACTAATTTGAAGGGCCTCAAACCGGGATGCTTGATTGGTCTTCAAATGAACACATGAGGGGGATTCCCCCAAAAAAATTTATAAAAAATTGTGTATTCTTACATGTTTAAACTTCAGTCACCTTCAAAGTACTCTCCATTTGATGTGATATACCTATAGAGATGTTTTTTCACTACTCAAAACAGTTTCTGAATTGTCAGTTTTGATGCCTTTTAATGCTTCTGCTCTTTTTTGTTTCACCTCTTCCACGTTGGCAAAACGTTTCCTTTTGAGGAACATTTTCCATCCAGGGAAACAAACAAACAACAAATGTCACTTGGGATGACATTGGGTGAATAGGGAAGGTGAGACATGAGAGTCATGCCTTTCAAATTAGTCAGAACTGGCCAAATAACCTTCACCCTTGTTCGCCCCGTTTTTGATTTTTAAAAAATGCTGAACACTCAGCATGGTGTGTGCAGGTGCATTGTCGTGTTGGAAGAACCAGTCACCTGTTTGCCACAACTCGGGACGTTTCTTCCACAAACCGTGACACAA